TTATGCTCGTAAAATCATCATAATTATGCTTTGGCACCCGGGGATATATATTCACTTTGTTGTACTTATGGAGCCTCAAAGTTCGGAAAATAGTTTTTTTTCGCAGTTGCAAGTGGCCATAAGTACAACAAAATATATGAGTATCCCCATACCAAGGTGTCCATGCATGTTAGAGATCAACATGGAAAAGAGAAAACATTACTTCTTCTATTCATCACTAAGTGATCTTGATTTCTTTTGTACTTCAGTAAAAATATTATTTCATTGCCAAATTAGTTTGAGATACCTTTGAAAACTATCATGTTCAACTCACAGTCTTCGTAATCATCATACTCTTCCAACCGATGTCACCCTCACCCTGCGAATAATCAGCTCATCTCTCCCGTAGCTCCACTTCTCCTTCCATCATGAGTCCTAGGCACCGGCGGATTATGCCGGCATAATTATTGGCATAATTTGATGGTTGACAATTTGGAGCATAATTTGGCATCCTCTCGGAGGTAGGAGCATAACTACACGATTATACCACAGTTCTAGTATGTAGGCTATACAATTGTGTACACTGCACCTGATCAGTGCTGGTGGTCTGCATGGCAAAGGGTTTGGAGGTCATGCAGATAGTGTTTTCAATGAAAAGCAGGGTAGAAATCATGGCAATACATTATTGTATGCTCGAACTCGTCTTCTTCAAAGTTCTTCCTCACACTGACACAGTACATGATGTAGCAGAAGATGCGAGTGAATCAGCCTTCATCAGGTATCCCGGAGCGGACGAGATACATGTACATGTAGTGGCGGGTAGTCCGCAAAACTCCGTTTACATGTACATGTACATTATGCATGTTACGAAGTCATGACCAGTCTGGATTTTAGCAGCCATGATATGACTGCAGGCTACGGATATTGCTCTAAATTGATGTATAGTTGATGTACAACATCCAGTGCTGGGACCTCCACAGCAAGCCATTTCCACAGCGCTGCACACCAAATCCAGGATACCCTCAGAAACCGGCAAAGACTACCACTCACGTTCCACTACTGCCTAGCACTGAATCCTACATGACTTCTTGGCACGACTCAAACTTGCCAAAGTCACTAAATCAACGTCAACTACAATAATCAAGCCACATATCTGCAACGTCACGAGGGTGCTGGCAAAAGTCCTGCTGCAATACGTGGTTTTTTAACGTGATTTTTGGACTTTTTTTGGACTTGGAGCAAAATTCTGCACACTTTTGGTTGTGTTTCCATGATACGACAAGTTGCGCACGGTCTGGTCACATTCAAATACAGTTCTGCCAACAAATGACAGCGTGCAACAAAAAAATCTTTCCTTGCAAGGGCACATTTTCGGCCATAACTCTTGAACGGCTGGTCAGATCGAGACAAATTTTTCAGAGATTTTGCAGCTATTGATGCTCTTTCAACTGATGTAGCGCTCGATATGAATTTACAAATTCGACTTTTCAGGGACTTTACGACCAGTCTGCCCTTAACGCGACTACATGCTTCTTTTGTTTACAAAGAACAGGATTATGCACACGAATACATACAGCTTCCAGAACCTTCAACTGCTTAGTATAACTTGCACGGCACAAAACAGAAAAGTGAGAATCATCGTGCACACTAAGACAATCTGGACGTGATAACAAGTGATAAAATACAGCTGACTTTTTGCTCACGTCGCGCTCTTCCGTCTCATCCCGCTCCTTTCTTCCATCTCCTCCGCCTCATCCTCGTCCTCCGTCTCATCTTCATCATCATCGTCCCCACCACCATCATCATCATCAGTCACTTCCTCACCATCCGTCTGATGCTCAGTCTCACTGCACTCCTCATCAGCCTCCAACATGGCTCCACCAGCATCACAAGTCATTTGACCGCTGCTCCGCGTCACCGTTGCTGGGTTCTCTGCTACTACACACCCATTTACACTGTCCATTTTGCGTGGGCCAAGTCCATTCCGTGCATAAATTTCAAGTGAATAGTTAGCTGTGCTTCTTCTGGGTCTATGGGTAAGGATATTGGTTTCATTTTGGTTTGTCGATGATCTCCCTCTCTGTCCAGACACAGTCGGCACCGTGAATCCCAGCACCGGGGGACCACCGTCTCAGTAGTCACCAAAGGTAAAGGGGTGGCTCAGGCGGAGGCAAGGGCAACTGCGGAGGTGAAGGTTCAGTGTCTCTCGGTGGCCCCTCCTCCATTCCAGGACGATGATGTTGTGCTAGAGTAGGCTCCGCTGCTGTTCGCCGTGGGTCGAAAAGTGGTGGCCAGGTCACTGACGGCAAACCCACCCCAGCTCCAGCCACCCACGGCACCGCAGGTGGTGGGGCCGGTGGTGGCACGGGAACAGGCGGCGCTGTCAGCACAGCGTGTTTGTCTACTGAGCTAACTGGGTTCTTGCACGGCCTAACACGCTTTGGCTGCTTTGCTCTGGCTGCTGGTGGTAATAAGTGCAACGGCACATGTTGTCTGATACGTGCGTTCAGGTGTTGAACAGTCCTACCAACGTACCGGGCAGCACAATTCCGGCACTCAAAGAGATAAACCAAATGGCTTGAAAGCTGGGGAGGTGGGACATCCTTCCTCACCATGAACGCACGTACCGTGGTGAACACGGGGATAAAATGGGCAACAAAGTATGTTTATTAACTAGGGTCTTGATAGCTCTGGACATGCTGACAGACGCGTTGCCTTTCCAAGGCAGGCATAAGTAGATAGGACACTTCCGAGGACCTGTGAATGTATCTTTGTTATTAGATTCTTGCTTCAGTATTTTGTTCAATAAGTCATGTGGGTATCCATTCTTGAGGAACATTGATCTGAGAAATTCCAGCTCGTCGTTGAGCTTCGTTTCGGAGCAGAGCCACTTTGCTCTCCCCACCAGGTTACGTACCAGGTTCACCTTGTATTGATGATGAATAAAATAATATAAAAGCTTTCTTGGAGACAGGAAGCTTATCAGGCAGAATTTTATCTATTTTGATGTTGTGTTGCTGTCGTTGGTGGTGGTGGTGCTGCTGTTGTTGATGTTGTCGTGTTACAGCATCAAAAAAAGATAAAATTCTAAATTCAACCACCCCCTAGAGTAAAGACTTCAAGAGGGTCCGAACCTGGGTTTTCCCAATACGGTTCAAATGGTCGCAAGACCGGGACTCTGCCAACCGGGTTATGGTTGTAGTCAGGAGCACTATGCGTCCTCGCCTTGTTTTACCAAGGTTTATCTAGTATTAGATGTACAATCATGTACATGTACGTGTATTAATACTAATAGAGCAAAATTGCATGTACTTTGTGAGAATGTGGGGGCTCTATAGGTTTCAGGGCTAGCGGTGTTACTTTAGGTAGGAGGCTGTGTGCAGAGTGTGTGGTTGTTGAAGGCACGGTCGACACTCCATCCTTTGCCGGACGATTTGCCAGAGCATGAAACTAATACTTGAAGTAGCAGCAAACAAGCCTTGATTGTCCGCGTTGTTCCGTATTATGCTCTGCCTCTGCGATGTTGAGCACTGTCAGCACACTGGGTGCATCCTCCAGTGTACTGTAAAAGCCATTATTCTAACGAGGCGCATATAATTATAACGATTTCCCAAAATCGACTGGTTTACGTGTACCAAAGGTAACGATTCTCACTCATTCTCAACGCTCAATAGGACAGTATATGTATCGATTTCTGTATAACGATTTCTATTTTAACGACAGATTTCTCCTTGTTAACTCGTTAGAGTTAGCACTTCGTTATGGCGTTTACAGTACTTCAGTACATGTATGGGAGGTTGGCAGGCGTGTTGGCATCGACTTACTTCGTACTTGTACATGACACTATTCTGCAATATGGGCATGCAGAGGTACATGTATACAGTCAACTTCGCGAATAACGACATTCGGCGGGGCATCAGAAAGGTGTCCTTATTCGCGAAGTGTCCTTATAACCGAAGTCCCATTTGAATGTATGTGAACCCATATTTTGTATAGTATGACACGCATATCAAAATCAAGCTCTTTTCTTGCTCTATGTCAATGTGTACTTTATTTTCATATTGCAGTTGAAAGGAACTAAAAATTCAATATGCAAGGGAAATAAATTGAAAAATATGCCTTTTTGAGCCATCTACAGGGCCAGGGCCTAGGGACAATGATGTACATGTACATGTACATGTACATGTATGATGATTACTGTACAATCATGTACAACTACATGTTAATGCATGATAGAATCCAACACTGGTAAACCAGCATTAGATAAACCTTGTTGTAGTTCACGCAATTGTTAGATTGACAGCATGAAACAAGGTGGAGGACACTCTGTGTTCGAAAACAGTGACCTTACTACAACCTTCCGCGGTTGGCAGAGCCCCGGTCCCTGCGGTACCCATATGGTTCAAATGGTCCGCAGGGACCGGGGCTCTGCCAAGTGCCAACCGCGGAAGGTTGTAGTAAGTGTAGTGTTTCGTACTTTAGTCTAACCAGACCAACCAGAGAGCCAAGACCTTAGTTCTAACTGTTGTACTACGATAAGACAAAGAACCTAGAACACATGCAATCTACTAGATATATACATACTGGCTAAAGTGGGAAGGAGGAATGGAATGCTAGATCATGTAAGTGGATCATGATGATGGGAATGATAATATCGGAATGCAAGTATGCATGGGCTACATGCATCTAGTCACATGACACTACACCTCCCTTTCTTTGAGGTCGTAAGAGCAAATATGGCAGTAGATTAAGAAGATGGAGAAGATACCTAACTGGACGAATTTGAAAATGAAAACAATAAGACCGTTGCAGAAGGGATCCATTACAGAGTTCTAAAAGCACTAGTCTGTCCGAGGGAGTATTCTAGTATAGTGCATTGTACATGTATATCCTCTCCTCTTACAAAGAAAAGACCTAAGGGTGTACAGAGGACACACAGGCACATGCAAGCCATTAGAAAAGAGAACGAGCAAGAGAGGGAGAGACAGAAGAGTGGAGTATTTTGTTTGGAGAGACCAAAGTTAGAAGCGATCGGGAGCGTGAACGACACGGCCGCGAGCCGTGACATACTTATCAGGCTGGTCTTGAGCTGGAGGGGTCGATGGCAAGTTGGGAACTGCAGGACACGGCGGAGTAGAAGGTTGACTGGCTGGGGGATCAGGATCGGTAGTAGCGGCAGAGTGACCAGCAGGCGGCAACTGTTGCGGCGTTGGCATTGGGACAATATGCCGCCGGTTGCGTCTGAACTGGCCCGATGGGGTTGCTACGATGTAGGAGCGCAAGGCTGGTTGGCTCATCACGTGGCCAGACTCTTCACGATCAGGTAGATATACAGGCTGTTGTGGACACAGAGACGGCAGTGTCCGGGCTGCATGGCGACTGGCATGGTTGGTGCTTTGGCGATCCTTTAAGCGCTGATCCGCGGCACGCAGGTCGCTCTGATCGACTGGATGCGACTGTCGCTGTGTTGGAGAGAGAGGTAAGAGTGACTGCAGCTGGCGGTTCATCAGAAGCTGGGCTGGACTCTTACCATTCTCCAAGGGAGTGTTGCGGTACGCGAGTAGTGCGAGGTGCCAATCAGTGCCCTGACGGAACAGACTTTTGACCGTGCGAACAGCACGCTCGGCCATGCCATTGGCTTGCGGATAGAGAGGGCTACTGGTGACGTGGCGGAAGCCATAGGTGGATGCAAACTGGGCAAATTCAGCACTGGTGAATTGCGGTCCGTTGTCGGTCGTTAGAGAGTCAGGGATGCCATGGCGAGCGAACAGTGACTTGAAATGGCTGACTGTACGAGCTGTGGAGAGCGAGGGCATGTCGAGGACCTCGATGAACCGAGAGTAGTAGTCGATGACGAGGAGGTGGTTGCGACCGTCGATGGTGAAGAAGTCTGCGGCCAGATGTTGCCAAGGAAACTCTGGGAGTGGAGTTGAGAGAAGAGGCTCGGGTGGCTGAGAGCGGTGTCGACTGCATTCTTCACATGTTTGGACAAGAGTAGCTATGTCCGACGAGAGCGATGGCCACCATACGGAAGTGCGGGCCAGGCGTCGGCACTTGGTGATGCCTTGATGACCCTGGTGAAGGCGAGCCAGGATTTCTTGCTGGTGAGCGGGAGGTATGTAGAGACGCTGATCATACAGAATCAAGCCGTCGTCCGTGAGGCTGAAATGTGCGCTGTGCTCTATAAGAAACTGCACTACGGGAGGAGCATCGCTAGGAGCAGGCCAGCCGTGCTGCAGGTACTCGATGATGTGAGCACAGCTATCGTCGTCGCTTTGCCATGCTGAAACCTCTTCCAGGCGTTGCGCAGTGGCAGGCAGAGCCTCAGTGACGTACGACACCATAGCAGCGGTCTCAGCCTCCAGTGTGGCAGTGGCGTCGGCATCTGTGCTGCGCAGAGGAGCTCGAGACAGAGCGTCGGCAATTGCGAGTTGTTTGCCAGGAGTGTGGATAATACTGTAATCGAATCGAAGTAGCCGTAGACGAAACCGGAGGACCCGCGGAGGGAGGTCGTCAAGAGCACGGGTACCTAGCAGAGGGATGAGTGGCTTGTGGTCCGTCTCAATGGTGAATGGCATGCCGAGGAGGTAGTGTGAGAGCCGGTCGCAGGCCCACGTTGCAGCCAGAGCCTCCTTCTCGATTTGCGAATAGCGTGTTTCCGCTGGTGTGAGAGAGCGAGACAAATAAGCTACAGGACGGACGGACGCGTCGGGCTGGCGTTGTAGAAGCACTGCACCCAGGCCAAAGGAAGATGCATCAGCAGATACTGTGGTGTGGTAGTTGGGAGAGTACTTGGCCAGGACGGGCTCGTTACTCAGTGACGTCTTGATGCGGTCGAACGCGGCACACTGCTCAGCACCCCACTGCCACGGGGTGCCTTTGACGAGGAGAGACCTGAGAGGTTGCGTGATGGAGGCCAAGTCCGGAATGAACTTGCCTAGGTGGTTGGCCATGCCGAGCAGACGGCGGACGGAATGGACATCGGAGCAGGGAGAGAGCTCCTGGATCGCGTGGATCTTGTCTGGATCTGGACGGATGCCACAGCCATCAATCACGTGGCCCAGGAACTTGATCGAGGTGGCATGAAATTGACACTTCTCGCTGTTGAGCGTGACGCCGGCGGATTGAAGACGGGCCAGAGCTGGTCGAAGGTTGTCGACCTCCTCCTCGAGGGTGGAGCCGAATGTGAGGACGTCGTCCATCATGCAGATGTTGCCAGGGAGGTCGCTGAGCAGATCTGACATCTGTTTCTGAAAATACTCGGGTGCCGAGGAGATGCCAAAGGGGAGCCGCGTGTAGCAGAATCTGCCGATGGGCGTGATGAAGGTGGTTAGTAGCTGCGACTCCGGCGCCAACGGAATTTGGTGAAACCCGCTGTTAGCGTCCAGCTTGGAGAATACCTTGGCATCACCGAGGCGAGCGAGGAGATGGTCCGTGGTAGGGAGAATGTGCCGTTCGCGCTTGACGGCTTTGTTGAGCCGTGTGAAGTCACCGCAGATGCGCACGCTGCCGTTTGGTTTTGGAACAACGACCATGCCGGCACACCAATCGGTCGGTTCGGACACTGGGCGAATGACGCCAGCGGCTTCCATGCGACGGAGGGCTTCAATAACCTTCGATTCCATGGGCAGAGCAACTCGCCGAGGAGTGGAGAGCGAGTATGGAGGAGCCTCATCGCGAAGTTGAATGATGTGGAGAGGACCGAAGGTACCTAGGCCCGAGAACAGGTCAGGAAACTCAGCGGCAACAGGAGAGCGAGAGTCTGAAGCTGAGGCACTAGAGGTAGAGGTGGTCTCCAGGACGTTAGCAGGAGCAGGCAGGATGCCGAGAGCCTCAATGGCTGGACGTCCGAGCAGTGGAAGCTTGAGGTCGCGGACCACGTACACCTGGGTGGGCACGGAGCCGGAGTGAGACTGAGATGAGTGAGCTGTGCGCAGGTCAGCTGTAAACCGGCCACAAACATTGAGGCTTGTGTTGTCTGGGCCCCGGAGAGTACGGTTCGATGGGGCGAGCGAGATAGGCAAGTCCAGGTACGTGAACACTGTAGCTGGTATAGCAGTGACATCCGCACCCGTGTCGACCTTCATAGTTATGGCCTTGCCGTGCAGAAGCATAGGGAGATTCCAGCCTGTGCCGTGGGTCAGGGTGCCCAGAAATGCGTCAGCAGAACTCACTGCCGAGCTAGAGGAATCACTGTGGCTGGAGAGAGAATGGACACCTGTGCCCCGCGGGGACTGATGAGTGCCCTGTCGTGCAGAAGAACCGGAGGAACCAGATGGTGGCGAAGAGCGGCACACTCGTTGAAAGTGGCCTGTCTTGCCACACCCTTTGCAGATTACACGACTTGCAGGACATCGTGCGCGGGGATGTGACTCGTATCCGCACCAAGGACAAGAATCAGATGATGGAGTCGAGTGGCGCGAGGAGCTGGGAGCATCACGCAGCGGAGGACGATCGCGACTAGAACGCAGCCGCCCCTGATCCTGGCGGACAGCAAACAACGACTGATCAGCTGCTGCACGTACCGTCGTTTGTTGCTCCTTGATGGCAGCGCTTTGGCGAGCGTGAGCCAGCGCCTTCTCCAGCGTCATATCCGAATCCATTTGCAGGCGTTCAGAAAGACGTGCATCTGCTAACCCTGCGATCAACCGGTCCCGGAGCATCTCATCGTGCATGGCCTTGAAGTTGCACCTATCTGCCAAGCGGTAGAGATCATTTACGAATGCATCTAGTGACTCCGTGGGCTGTTGGGTGCGCTGATGGAAACATGCACGTTCGTACACATAATTTCTCTTCTTGCCGAAGTGGGCAGTGAAACGCTCAGTGACTGTGGTAAATTTACTCACGTCATCCTCAGGTAGATGGAAACTGTCCAGTAGGTCGTCAGCTTGCTCGCCCATCGTGTAGAGGAGGGAGTTCACCTGGACCGACTCCGGTTGGGTGTGAAGACCAGACGCCTGACGATAGCGGTTAAAACGACGCAGCCAGCGGTCCCACTGATCTGCAGCCTGGAAATTGAATGATGATGGAGGGGACACCTGTGAGAGGTGAACCATCCCCGGAAGAGAAACCTGGGCGGGCTCGGGCGCCGAAGAAGACGTAGAAGGCGCTCCACCGGAGGAGCTACCTGAACCACCATTGCTGCCTCCGCCACCGGCGGGGGAAGATCCGCGGGAAGCGGGTTGAACCGAGCTGGGGTCCGAAGAAGACATGGCTTCTGGACCGCTGCCACCATGTAGTGTTTCGTACTTTAGTCTAACCAGACCAACCAGAGAGCCAAGACCTTAGTTCTAACTGTTGTACTACGATAAGACAAAGAACCTAGAACACATGCAATCTACTAGATATAATACATACTGGCTAAAGTGGGAAGGAGGAATGGAATGCTAGATCATGTAAGTGGATCATGATGATGGGAATGATAATATCGGAATGCAAGTATGCATGGGCTACATGCATCTAGTCACATGACACTACAGTAAGGTAACTGTTTTCGAACACAGTGTCCTCCACCTTGTTTCATGCTGTCAATCTAACAATGTACATGCATGTAGGTGTGCTGGTAAATCCAACACTTTTGAAGCAAAATAAAAAAGGAAGAAAAAGCCCCCCCCCCCTTGGCTGCATTTTCTTTTCTTTATCCATCACCATAGTATAGGTTCTGGTACTTCTGCATGCACAAGTACATGCACAAGTAGTCAAGTACATGCACAAGTAGTCAAGTACATGCACAAGTACATGCACAAGTACAATGTCATGCACAAGTACTAGGCACCGGCGGATTATACCGGCATAATTATTGGCATAATTTGGTGGTTGAAAATTTGGAGCATAATTTGGCAACCTCTCGGAGGTAGGAGCATAACTACACGATTATACCACAGTTCTAGTATGTAGGCTATACAATGCACCTGATCAGTGCTGGTGGTCTGCATGGTAAAGGGTTCGGAGGTCATGCAGATAGTGTTTTCAATGAAAAGCAGCGAAGAAATCATGGCAATACAGTATTGTATGCTCGAACTCGTCTTCTTCAAAGTTCTTTCTCACACTGACACAGTACATGATGTAGCAGAAAATGCGAGTGAATCAGCCTTCAGCAGGTATCCCCGGGGGCGGACGAGGTAGTGGCAGGTAGTCCGCAAAACTCCGTGTCACATGACTGTACATGAACATGTAGATTACATTTGCACATTTGTACATTATGCATGTTACGAAGTCATGACCTCTGGATTTTAGCAGTCATAATATGACTGCAGACTATCGATATTGCTCGAAATTGATGTACATGACTTGTATAGTTCATGTTCGGTCATGATGGAAGGAGAAGTGGAGCTACGGGAGAGATGAGCTGATTATTCGCAGGGTGAGGGTGACATCGGTTGGAAGAGTATGATGATTACGAAGACTGTGAGTTGAACATGATAGTTTTCAAAGGTATCTCAAACTAATTTGGCAATGAAATAATATTTTTACTGAAGTACAAAAGAAATCAAGATCACTTAGTGATGAATAGAAGAAGTAATGTTTTCTCTTTTCCATGTTGATCTCTAACATGCATGGACACCTTGGTATGGGGATACTCATGTATTTTGTTGTACTTATGGCCACTTGCAACTGCGAAAAAAAACTATTTTCCGAACTTTGAGGCTCCATAAGTACAACAAAGTGAATATATATCCCCGGGTGCCAAAGCATAATATGATGATTTTACGAGCATAATGCGAGAATCCATGAAAGCATAATTCCATGATTTTGCGAGCATAATCCGCCCGAGCCTAATCATGACCGAACATCAACTATACATCAATTTCGAGCAATATCGATAGCCTGCAGTCATATCATGACTGCTAGAATACAGAGGTACTAGGTCATGACTTCGTAACATGCATAATGTACAAATGTAATGTACAATGTACATGTACACGGAGTTTTGCGGACTACCCGCCACTATCTCGTCCGACCCGGGATACCTGATGAAGGCTGATTCACTCGCATCTTTTGCTACATGTACTGTGTCAGTGTGAGAAAGAACTTTGAAGAAGACGAGTTCGAGCATACAATACTGTATTGCCATGATTTCTACCCTGCTTTTCATTGAAAACACTATCCGAATGACCTCCGAACCCTTTACCATGCAGACCACCAGCACTGATCAGGTGCATTGTACACAATTGTATAGCCTACATACTACAATTGTATAGCCTACATACTAGACTGTGACTGTGCTATAATCGTGTAGTTATGCTCCTACCTCCGAGAGGATGCCAAATTATGCTCCAAATTTTCAACCACCAAATTATGCCAATAATTATGCCGGCATAATCCGCCGGTGCCTACATGTATACAGTACCTATCGCCTATTAGTAATAGTTGTAAAGTGAGTCTGCAGCTGATCTGGTGCCAGTGGTGGCAAGTTAGTCTGCCGCCCGAGTCCTTTGCAAGTCTGGCACTCTGCCTCACCAGCGATAACCGATGCCAATGGTGGTGGCATGGCTTGGTTATCTTCATGATGATCCAGTAGGTTAGACTACAATAATACATGTACGTCGGGACTGACAGTCTGTGCCCAGTGCAGCGTGCAGGACACGGGACGTTGACCACTACTATTAGTACATGTATACTACTATTAGTATACATGTAGGCAATACTTCTACATTGTACTTTGAGAAATGCACCCTTACCTGTCATGCCTATGCAGCCACTGCTCCAGACCCATAACGACTTACACGTACGTCAGCATATCCTCACGATGGAGGCATGTTGGACCGTGAACTAATAGTAACACTACATTAGTAGAACTCACAAAACAACACTGAGCAATTTTTCACAAAGAAGTAACGTCCTGTTCGCCTCTAGCTCTGACACCACTTGCTTTCACATAATTATATTACTTTAAAAAAATGTTGTATTAGATAAACCAACAACATGTGTAAAAACATGTTGTAGAGGTCTTTTGAAAATTGAATTTGATCACTATTGGCGATATATTACTATAGACGATTATTACTATACGCGATAACTGTGTATACCTACAATGTAGTTATGGCAAATGAAAATGAATTCGAGAAGTTAATCACTGTAGCCGCTATATTGCTGTAGCCGCCAACCTTATACTATAGTATAGGCGATACTGACTGTACTTGTCGCTAGCCTGTCCATTTTTCGGTGTCGCCAAGCGACAGTACTGACTGCTACTGTACAATGTACAATGTAGATCAAGGGGATTGTGTCAGCATGCAGCACGCAGCCTCAAGAGGACTGGTGGACGGAAACGCATAGTAGATCGGGATTGGCTGCCTAGCAGGAAATCCAGGCACCTGCGCAGGGGACGCACACTCGTACTGAGTGTGGATTCCTGACACAGTCACTGCGTTCGCCTATCTACGAGGATGAGTGAAATAGAGACGCAATACGCGGCAGTGCTAACTGTTCATAGTCATTACCACCAACACGTGCATACATGTACATGTACATGGATGTAGCGGACATTCAAGGCAGTTTAGCCATGTTTTACTTTTACTTTTAGCCACCAACATGTATAATTGACATACAACAGTACAAAAAGAATAGAATGGGATACGGAGCTTGGGTTGGCTGTGACTCAGAGTTTCACGCCTGTGGCGATCATCAGACAGCAATGATTACAAAAACTGAATGAAAGTTCTTGATATAGTGTGGTAAGGTGCTAGTGGAATCAGAGAATGTACGCGCAAATAAGGTCAAGCGGTGATTCTATGCATGTACTTGCAAGATCAGCGCCAGACATCAGGTGTAATCCTGGTTTATGTGACTGGACTGAGGTGTGAAGTTTGATAGGTGTTCTCATGTCTGCACTTGGTACATTGTCATTGCACAGGTACAAGGCGCATACAATCTGTCATGGGGCCCTTGAAGGCTTGACGGCAGCGCCACTACTGGGCACTAGCACTGGAAGTGGAAGGGGATCACCATGATCACCGGGAAAGGGATGCCCACCCACTTACATGCAGTCATGTACATAATTGTATGTGGCTTCACCGACCTGCTCATCACACGTCTTCGGCGACGTGCCTGATAATAGTACAAGTAGCGCCTGCCTCGCCAGCTCACTCTCACTAGTCTCAGATTTGATGATGGTGAAGAAGAGAGTCATGACGATCACCTCAGTGCCTTTCGGCAGCAAAGCAGTCCAGTTCCTTCTGCAACGTACACTGTGTAGTATCACTGCGTTTCTTCTAGTGTTGCACGGAATACCTTGTGATTAACAGAGAGGCCCTGCGCTACTTGCATGTGTAGTAGGTTAGTTCTAACCGACTAATATTGTAGTTTAAAACATGGAAACCGGCTCCAGGGAAACAAACGATGACCTGGAGCCAGTTCCTCGCAACCGCACGTTCGAAACGACCATTTCAGATCGGCTTACCGCCGACGTTGTCGCTTCACGCTTGATTTTGTCGCGTCAGAACTCCCCTCCGCGCCGGTTGCCGGGCAGTGATTCACTTCTCCCGACGTCCGTTCTTGCTCACCAAACACCATCCGAGTCCGCGGCTATCGCAAGCATCGTGGACACCACTGGCGTTCAGTTGCCACCTGCAACCACAGGCGCAGGGATTGAACTGGATGACAATGGCGGATACGAAGTACCTCTCCTTTCGACTCGCGAAGGTGAGACAATAGCTATTCAATATTGGCGGTCTTGGTTTTGAATGAATTCTGTGAACATGATGTCAACTTCGCCAATAACGACTGCGGATATAACGACAATTTGCGAATAACGACCGAATTTCCATGCCCGGAGCAAAGTCCCATCTAACTGTATACATTCAACTTCGGATATAACGACTATCTGAATAACGACAATTCGCGAATAGCGACATGCTTTTAGTGCCCCGAGGTCATATTCACTGCTTGAATAACGATTTTCTGGGCTTTTGACAGCTATTTCAAGTACCTGTCAGTCAGGTACATGCACAGGTACATGTACCTGTGCATGTACCTGTGCATGTACTTGTGCATGACATACTTGTGCATGTACTTGTGCATGTACTTGACCTACATCTCAGGCACTCATCACCTGATGAGTGCCTGAGATTAAAACCCCTTGAGCGCGGGGCTGTTTGTCAGTGCACCACGTAAGAAAAATGGTCTTTTTTGAAAATTTTCAAACCTTGGCTATGTCAAGTCGTGAAATCTTTGGGAGCCACAACCACAGGCAGTGGTAGGTAGGACCCAGACCAGCACTCGACAACAAGAACAAAAGCGAAAATCGGCCAAGGCACGCCAGGCCGAGCGGCATACTCAGGTCGATTTTTGAGAAATTGCACCAATTGCGTGGTATGCGCGTGTAAAAAAGGAGAAAAAAAGAACTGTGCTGATCGCTGTACATTGACAGCTGGGAACTGAACCCGGGACCTCTCATACACAAGGCATAGACACTACCAATCGGCTAACAGACCTGAAGACTGAAGATACGGGCCATTAGTTTGTATATAAGCGCATGACGTACTAGTACGTCATCCGTGGGGCACTGTGTGGGTGTTATGACGTACTAGTACGTCATCCGCGCTCAAGGGGTTAACTTAAGTTGTGACTGATCAAGCCATCTGTTGTTCTGACTAGTGTGCATGTACATGTACTTGTGCATGTACTTGTGCATGCAGAAGTACCAGAACCTATACTATGGTGATGGATAAAGAAAAGAAAATGCAGCCAAGAGGGGGGGGGGGGCTTTTTCTTCCTTTTTTATTTTGCTTCAAAAGTGTTGGATTTACCAGCACACCTACATGCATGTACATTGTTAGATTGACAGCATGAAACAAGGTGGAGGACACTGTGTTCGAAAACAGTTACCTTACTACAACCTTCCGCGGTTGGCACTTGGCAGAGCCCCGGTCCCTGCGGACCATTTGAACCATATGGGTACCGCAGGGACCGGGGCTCTGCCAACCGCGGAAGGTTGTAGTAAGGTCACTGTTTTCGAACACAGAGTGTCCTCCACCTTGTTTCATGCTGTCAATCTAACAATTGCGTGAACTACAACAAGGTTTATCTAATGCTGGTTTACCAGTGTTGGATTCTATCATGCATTAACATGTAGTTGTACATGATTGTACAGTAATCATCATACATGTACATGTACATGTACATGTACATCATTGTCCCTAGGCCCTGGCCCTGTAGATGGCTCAAAAAGGCATATTTTTCAATTTATTTCCCTTGCATATTGAATTTTTAGTTCCTTTCAACTGCAATATGAAAATAAAGTACACATTGACATAGAGCAAGAAAAGAGCTTGATTTTGATATGCGTGTCATACTATACAAAATATGGGTTCACATACATTCAAATGGGACTTCGGTTATAAGGACACTTCGCGAATAAGGACACCTTTCTGATGCCCCGCCGAATGTCGTTATTCGCGAAGTTGACTGTATACATGTACCTCTGCATGCCCATATTGCAGAATAGTGTCATGTACAAGTACGAAGTAAGTCGATGCCAACACGCCTGCCAACCTCCCATACATGTACTGAAGTACTGTAAACGCCATAACGAAGTGCTAACTCTAACGAGTTAACAAGGAGAAATCTGTCGTTAAAATAGAAATCGTTATACAGAAATCGATACATATACTGTCCTATTGAGCGTTGAGAATGAGTGAGAATCGTTACCTTTGGTACACGTAAACCAGTCGATTTTGGGAAATCGTTATAATTATATGCGCCTCGTTAGAATAATGGCTTTTACAGTACACTGGAGGATGCACCCAGTGTGCTGACAGTGCTCAACATCGCAGAGGCAGAGCATAATACGGAACAACGCGGACAATCAAGGCTTGTTTGCTGCTACTTCAAGTATTAGTTTCATGCTCTGGCAAATCGTCCGGCAAAGGATGGAGTGTCGACCGTGCCTTCAACAACCACACACTCTGCACACAGCCTCCTACCTAAAGTAACACCGCTAGCCCTGAAACCTATAGAGCCCCCACATTCTCACAAAGTACATGCAATTTTGCTCTATTAGTATTAATACACGTACATGTACATGATTGTACATCTAATACTAGATAAACCTTGGTAAAACAAGGCGAGGACGCATAGTGCTCCTGACTACAACCATAACCCGGTTGGCAGAGTCCCGGTCTTGCGACCATTTGAACCGTATTGGGAAAACCCAGGTTCGGACCCTCTTGAAGTCTTTACTCTAGGGGGTGGTTGAATTTAGAATTTTATCTTTTTTTGATGCTGTAACACGACAACATCAACAACAGCAGCAGCACCACCACCAACGACAGCAACACAACATCAAAATAGATAAAATTCTGCCTGATAAGCTTCCTGTCTCCAAGAAAGCTTTTATATTATTTTATTCATCATCAATACAAGGTGAACCAGGTACGTAACCTGGTGGGGAGAGCAAAGTGGCTCTGCTCCGAAACGAAGCTCAACGACGAGCTGGAATTTCTCAGATCAATGTTCCTCAAGAATGGATACCCACATGACTTATTGAACAAAATACTGAAGCAAGAATCTAATAACAAAGATACATTCACAGGTCCTCGGAAGTGTCCTATCTACTTATGCCTGCCTTGGAAAGGCAACGCGTCTGTCAGCATGTCCAGAGCTATCAAGACCCTAGTTAATAAAACATACTTTGTTGCCCATTTTATCCCCGTGTTCACCACGGTACGTGCGTTCATGGTGAGGAAGGATGTCCCACCTCCCCAGCTTTCAAGCCATTTGGTTTATCTCTTTGAGTGCCGGAATTGTGCTGCCCGGTACGTTGGTAGGACTGTTCAACACCTGAACGCACGTATCAGACAACATGTGCCGTTGCACTTATTACCACCAGCAGCCAGAGCAAAGCAGCCAAAGCGTGTTAGGCCGTGCAAGAACCCAGTTAGCTCAGTAGACAAACACGCTGTGCTGACAGCGCCGCCTGTTCCCGTGCCACCACCGGCCCCACCACCTGCGGTGCCGTGGGTGGCTGGAGCTGGGGTGGGTTTGCCGTCAGTGACCTGGCCACCACTTTTCGACCCACGGCGAACAGCAGCGGAGCCTACTCTAGCACAACATCATCGTCCTGGAATGGAGGAGGGGCCACCGAGAGACACTGAACCTTCACCTCCGCAGTTGCCCTTGCCTCCGCCTGAGCCACCCCTTTACCTTTGGTGACTACTGAGACGGTGGTCCCCCGGTGCTGGGATTCACGGTGCCGACTGTGTCTGGACAGAGAAGGAGATCATCGACAAACCAAAATGAAACCAATATCCTTACCCATAGACCCAGAAGAAGCACAGCTAACTATTCACTTGAAATTTATGCACGGAATGGACTTGGCCCACGCAAAATGGACAGTGTAAATGGGTGTGTAGTAGCAGAGAACCCAGCAACGGTGACGCGGAGCAGCGGTCAAATGACTTGTGATGCTGGTGGAGCCATGTTGGAGGCTGATGAGGAGTGCAGTGAGACTGAGCATCAGACGGATGGTGAGGAAGTGACTGATGATGATGATGGTGGTGGGGACGATGATGATGAAGATGAGACGGAGGACGAGGATGAGGCGGAGGAGATGGAAGAAAGGAGCGGGATGAGACGGAAGAGCGCGACGTGAGCAAAAAGTCAGCTGTATTTTATCACTTGTTATCACGTCCAGATTGTCTTAGTGTGCACGATGATTCTCACTTTTCTGTTTTGTGCCGTGCAAGTTATACTAAGCAGTTGAAGGTTCTGGAAGCTGTATGTATTCGTGTGCATAATCCTGTTCTTTGTAAACAAAAGAAGCATGTAGTCGCGTTAAGGGCAGACTGGTCGTAAAGTCCCTGAAAAGTCGAATTTGTAAATTCATATCGAGCGCTACATCAGTTGAAAGAGCATCAATAGCTGCAAAATCTCTGAAAAATTTGTCTCGATCTGACCAGCCGTTCAAGAGTTATGGCCGAAAATGTGCCCTTGCAAGGAAAGATTTTTTTGTTGCACGCTGTCATTTGTTGGCAGAACTGTATTTGAATGTGACCAGACCGTGCGCAACTTGTCGTATCATGGAAACACAACCAAAAGTGTGCAGAATTTTGCTCCAAGTCCAAAAAAAGTCCAAAAATCACGTTAAAAAACCACGTATTGCAGCAGGACTTTTGCCAGCACCCTCGTGACGTTGCAGATATGTGGCTTGATTATTGTAGTTGACGTTGATTTAGTGACTTTGGCAAGTTTGAGTCGTGCCAAGAAGTCATGTAGGATTCAGTGCTAGGCAGTAGTGGAACGTGAGTGGTAGTCTTTGCCGGTTTCTGAGGGTATCCTGGATTTGGTGTGCAGCGCTGTGGAAATGGCTTGCTGTGGAGGTCCCAGCACTGGATGTTGTACATCAACTATACATCAATTTAGAGCAATATCCGTAGCCTGCAGTCATATCATGGCTGCTAAAATCCAGACTGGTCATGACTTCGTAACATGCATAATGTACATGTACATGTAAACGGAGTTTTGCGGACTACCCGCCACTACATGTACATGTATCTCGTCCGCTCCGGGATACCTGATGAAGGCTGATTCACTCGCATCTTCTGCTACATCATGTACTGTGTCAGTGTGAGGAAGAACTTTGAAGAAGACGAGTTCGAGCATACAATAATGTATTGCCATGATTTCTACCCTGCTTTTCATTGAAAACACTATCTGCATGACCTCCAAACCCTTTGCCATGCAGACCACCAGCACTGATCAGGTGCAGTGTACACAATTGTATAGCCTACATACTAGAACTGTGGTATAATCGTGTAGTTATGCTCCTACCTCCGAGAGGATGCCAAATTATGCTCCAAATTGTCAACCATCAAATTATGCCAATAATTATGCCGGCATAATCCGCCGGTGCCTAGTGATGGGGTAGGGCCCCTCAACGAGGCCCTGGAAACTGTCACAACGGAACGAGTGGGCGTTCTCTCACAGACTCACACAGACCCAAGTCAATTTTTGATTTTTTTTAGGTTTATCACGTGCTACGAGGTCGTACCTTTGATACAACATCCAGTGCTCATGTAGTAGAAACTTAGATCAGTGTCTCCAGTTGCAAGAACTGGATAGCTTCTGATGGTTGTGTGAGAATTGCCTCCCTGACTGCCGTGAAGGTACATAGACGTGTACCTGCTGGACTGCTGTGTCTGGCAGGGCAAGCTAGCAGGAGGTGGGTAGCAGCATCAACTGTTCCAGGACAGTGAGTGCAATCGGGCGAAGGTGCCGCCTCGATCTGGAACAAGTACTTGTTCAGCAGGCTGCAGTGGCCAGTGAGGAGCTGATTGAGGATGGTGGTCTCATGCCGGGATGGAGGGCTGCGGAACTTGCTGGTGTTCAGTAATGGCCGGGGGTATGCGGTTGCAGACCGAATTGAAGCCATGGCAGCTTGGATAGGTAGCTGAACCTGGGCCTGTACACACTGTGTTCCATTCCGCCTTGTCATTGAGAGCAACACCGCAGTGGCTGCTGATCCAGGCAAGGTTGATGGAATGAGCCTTCCGAGCAACCTCTGTCAGAGCATCGAACGCAGCAATGGTGGCTGGGCTGATCCTGTATGGGTCTCCACGGAGGGCATCTACGAGGGAAAGGCTGTCAGTGACCAGCACAACGTCCGTCTCCATGGTGGTAAGGTCGTAGACTGCCCTCAGGCCAGCTGCTGCTGCCGCTACTTCGGCAGTGAAGGATGCTGCGACAGCGACAGCGCCAGCTGGTAGACACCCAGACAGTATCTCTGACCGCTGGGTTGCAGTGGTTTCCATGACAAGAAAACCACCTCCACCAGCGTTGGTGTCAGAGACACTGCCATCTGTCCAAATGTCTAGACGCCGCGAGGAACAACAGGAGCGATAGGCTTCCTCCAGGCATGCTAGTGCCTCTACAAGTCGTACAGTAGGAGGGTCAGACCGGGTGCGAACCTAAAACAAGTCCAGAAGCAGCCATGGGTGGTGGGGTAGAGCCCCTGAACGAGGCCCTGGAATCTGTCACAACGGAACGAGTGGGCGTTCTCTCACAGACTCCCACAGACCCAAGTCAATTTTTGAATTTTTTTAGGTTTAGCACGTGCTACGAGGTCGTACCTTGGCTTTGGTACAACATCCAGTGCTGGGACCTCCACAGCAAGCCATTTCCACAGCGCTGCACACCAAATCCAGGATACCCTCAGAAACCGGCAAAGACTACCACTCACGTTCCGCTACTGCCTAGTACTGAATCCTACCTGACTTCTTGACATGACTCAAACTTGCCAAAGTCACTAAATCAACGTCAACTACAATAATCAAGCCACACATCTGCAACGTCAGGAGGGTGCTGGCAAAAGTCCTGCTGCACGGCGGCGGGCAAAGCCCGCCGCCGTGCAGCCCAATACGTGGCTCAAAAACGTGATTTTTGGACTGGGCTCTTTCAACTGACGTAGCACTCAATATGAATTTACAAATTCGATTTTTTAGCGAATTTTTGGGTAGTCTGCCACCTTAAATTCCATTAATTAACTCGTTGTTGTCTGGCCATGTCTGCATCTATTATACTCTTTATTGCACCCATATTTTTTTTTTTTTAATTTTTTAGAAAGTTATTTAGCTGTTTGAAAAGGAGATACAGTAAACCTGGTGTAAGCGACCTCTCGTTTTAACGACCACCTGCTCTTAACGACCGTTTTCCATGCACAGACAGTTCTACACACACTGTGGGACCTGGTTCTAAAGACCACCTGACTTTAACGACCGCTTTTCCTTGCACCGTGGGGCGGTCGCTTAATCCAGGTTTCACTGTTCCCTCGAAATGAGGTAGAGCACCTCTATTCCGCCCTCAAGATTCGTGGTCGTCTTGGTGAAGAATACAACAAACCTCTCTGTTTATTCCTTAGTTTCTCACCCGCCGTTGCACTTACATGTATCTCTCACTTCACTTCTATTGTCTCACCTTCCCTCATTCTATTTTGGCACTGTATTTTGTTCTCGTAACACATCATTGAATGTCTATTTAATCATTGTTCAGCATGGTTACTCTTCAGTCACGACTTTCCACTGATGAATGTGACAAGAAAATTAATTCTGGTAAACTTTCATGACTTCGTTGTAGTGTGGCGATGACTGCAGAATTTGTTCTCTTTATTGCTATTATCTCTCTGTTTATCTATGTTTTTAATTATTTGATAACCGCAATCAGTAATACAATCTGGATCGACATTTGTGTACACTGTATTCATGTAATGTAAAACTGTGGAGACAATGTGCAATAAAACGATGAAAATGTGAAGTACGAAAACTTGTTTGAATCCTCATTTTCTCTACACCATTTCTTCACATTTTCATCGTTTTATTGCACACTGTCTCCACAGTTTTACATTACATGAATAAAGTGTACACAAATGTCGATCCAGCTTGTATTACTGATTGCGGTTATCAAATTGTTGTCTCCTCGCCGTTTGTTTTTAATTATTATTACTTCAAAGTATTATAATTATTATAGATGAATTGCGTGCGCACATTGCGCTGGCAGGCCGTATCCTGCTGCTGCTGGCGCGTTGTGATGCAGCACTCGCAGTCACACTGAGTCTGTTACAGCTGAGCACATGCCATGCACATGTACCTTGACTTTGTCCCGCTGCAGATCCTGCAGTACGTTGCCGGCTAGCCCTCCCTGTGCCACAGGAGCGGCATACCATGCGGCAAACACCGTCACAACACCCACACCCAGCCCTACGCATTGTGGAGAACGTGAAGAGAAGGAAGGAAGTGATCACCAGCAAGTTGCTCTATGTGGCAGACGTGAGTCCTGTCCTCTTCGTGATCAATGATTCACTGAGTGCCATTCGCCATCTCCTGGTTGTGCTGGGTGAGAGCTGTGAAGACGCTCAAGCTGCGCTGGGAGATCATAGTGTGACACTTATCGCCGGGCGCAGTGGAGGCCAATACTTGAAATCCATCATACAGCCTGCCCTGCTGAGATGGAAGAACCGTCCAGTTCCAGTCGCTGATGCGCCTGCAATGAACCCAGATAAAGAAATGATGTCATACCTCTGCGATTGCAAACTGCAGGACGTATTATCTGAGCTGCGCGAAGGTACAGTATTGTACATGTATAACTATTATCAAACAGGGTGTAATTCGTGCCAATGTAGCAGGATATGATTTCTAGATATGCAGAACGCTGCAGACCATTGAATAAGTAGACAACAGATGAAAGCGTACAATCATGGTACCGCGGAATTGGAGTTAATTGCCCATTACCACTTCTGATAATGTGTGAGATCCTTGACACACTTCCCCCCCCCCCCCCCTCACACTGCCTGCATGGAGGTCTTGCGACGATTTGCAGAAGAGAAACCATAACATGTAGTTTAAAAAAGTACTGCACGATTGGAAATAGAGTTAGTGCCAGCCATGGTTTAGGTCTGGGAATTGCAGGACATCCACTCTCGTAACTTCTTGTAGTACAGTTACGTTGAGATTGAGGGAGAGGAAAAACAGAAGACAAAAGAAAGACACACACACAGACACACACACACAGACACACAGACACCATTGGACCATTGGACGCCCATCGCCAGAGGCGATGATAGCGATGCTACAGCAGAAGCCATAGCAGCTTGTGCTGGGATTGCACCATTCAACAGCTTGCAAGGCTGAAGAATTGACCACCACTATTCAGCCTGGTCTACACCACACAGCTATGAAGTGGCTTTTTCTGGCCAGTGAATCCCTACTTTTTGGTCTTTTTCATTTTTTTTTTTTTTTTCATTTTTTTCACACAGACACACAGCACATGTATACACATGCACACGAATATCCATGTGCTATCCCATACGTTTTCTTGTTTATAACTTGGGTGTTTTATTAAAAGACCTGATAAGAGACAATCCTATACATTGCACGAGCTACAGTATGTTGCTGAACGTGCTCAATGCCACAAGGGCAGAGCCAAAAACACAAGTTTTAAATAATGCAACTAGGCTGAATTTAGTGGTAACTCGGAGTTTCATGTAGTTTCATTGCTATCTTGTGTAAGATACATGTGCATGTATTCATAATAAAGAAAAGGACCAAGGAACTACAAGTTACGCTATAGGAAATGTCCACTAACATCACCAGTTACATGTACTTGACAATCAGCTCATGCTATAGCATTGCACAACACTGACGGACAGTACTGACGTTCTACAATTAGCTGGCTATCAGCTCTAGCATCCATCAACTCTGGTCCTTTTCTTTATTAAAAATTAATCATGGGCTCTCCACCCGAGTCTGTACAAATATTCATCATTTTGAAATACGGAATGTTCCCTGTGTCAATGCGTTTATATTCTGTTTCCAGATATCAGCTCTTGCAGGGTCGTGCAGGAACAGAGTGACACAAGTTACGTACAGATGCTCCGCAATCCGCGCATCAGCAGCGATCGACACCAGTCTGGTCAAGTCTGAACCAATTTGAAACGGGCCGAGGAAACTGGAACTTGAGTTTTCATCATGAGGTCTCAGATAAGAAATGGTTTGCTCCCCACACCGGAGCTCGCGCTATTCCGCCGACTTTACTTGACACTTGACTGACTCACGACTGCCATCCAGAGCAAATCATCGCCGAAGTCGCAACCACTACTTAGGTCTCAGATAAGCAAAACAAAACTATGATTTCATTTCGCTCAACTTAACTCTGGGTATGAAGGCAATGCCGTTTGCAGAATATCGGTAGCAAGAAGCTGCTGTCTTGAAAATGAAGATACATGTATATATGTTCACCGGAGGGTGTACCCAGGGTGCTGACAGTGCCCAACACCGCATGTACTTGTACATGCAACTTTGGAGGCAGCAAGCGAGTGAAATCTTGAGAAAATGTGTTTCATTACATTTTGTACATGCCATTGCTGCGATTCTTGAGATCTAAGAATTTAAGTGACTCTTCACAGGTGAGATATTTGTCATTACCTTTTCCATGTATCTCTTACATTAATCAGGGCTTCTTAGCAGCATTTCGAATGGTTTGTGTTTCTCCTATTATTACCTGTTCAAGGACATTTTCCATAACGGTATCTTAATCTGGTTTTCGTTAAAATCTGTTTCGTTGTGCAGTATCGTTTTTCGTACTGTGATTATTGCGTCAGCCATTGACGTATCCATATACATGTTAGTGCATAGTAGGGAGGGCCTTATGGCTTGTTTGCAACCTTCAGGTTATCCCTCGGGCCCTCAGGCTAACCTGTCGGGCACTAACAATCCATTAAGCCTTCACTGCCATGCATTATTAACCTATAGTTATAGTCGCATCACAAAACACTCACCTACATGTATGCCTTCGTCCATGTGTGCGACCATTATGAAGAAACCTTTCATGCAAAAGAGAGAGAAAGAGAGAGAGAGAGAGAGAGATAGATAGAGAGAGAGAGAGAGAGAGAGAGAGAGAGGGTCACGCCGAGGTGCTTGTGTGTGGATAATGGTGTTAGTGCCAGCTTGTCAAAGATGACAGGTGGGCCATCACAATTGCTTAGCACTGGTGTTTTGTCTGGAGCAAATCGACCGTTTATCAGGGTTGCCCAACTCTGACAAGCTTCAAGATCGGCTGTGAGATTCTGACGGAGGTAGGTATTGTCTTGTAGAGTGGAATGTGTAAGAAATAGAGTGACATCATCAGCGAAGATGTATGGTGTTGAGTGCTTTACAATTAGGGGTAGGTCATTGATGTATACAAGAAATAAAATTGGAGCGAGATGGGAGCCTTGAGGTACACCAGACGTAGGTACTTTGGGAGTGGATGTAACATCTTCAGTCTGGATGGAAAGGTGGCGAGAATTCTGGTAGCTCTCTAGCCATTTACTGCTCCGAGCGTCAGCGATGTCCTTGAATTTTGCAACGAGGACTTGATGATCCACACGGTCGAAGGCCTTCTGGAAGTCCAGAAAGCCGCACATATAATCACGACCGCTGTACATACATTTTGGTATCTGGTGGGTAAGCAAGATTAGCTGATCTGTAGTAGATTTGTGAGGGGTGTAGGCGAACTGTTGTAGAGCTATGTCGTTGGTTGTGGCAAGATGTTGGGATAGGTCTTGAACAAGGCAGTGTTCGAAGACCCTTGTGATCGGTCCAAGAAGTGATATTGGGCGGTAGTTGGTTGGGTCGGATATAGCCCCTTACCGTTTAAAAATTGGTTTCACGATGGCTATTTTCCATGCCGTCGGGAATATTCCGTCTACAAGGCTTTTATTGAAAAGATAGCTGAGAGATTCACACAAGATATCTGCTGTTTTACGTAGGATTGAGACCAGCTCCGGATCAGATGTGGCTTTGTGCTGCTGTAGATGAGAAAGGTGTGTGAACACAGTTCGTTCTGCAATGGATTTGAACTGAAATTTGTCGATGGGAGATGAGATCCCGCATGTGGAAGTAAGTGTTGGTGCGTCTGTTGAGGCTGTGCATTGATCTGCAAAGTATTCAGAGAGGAATTCTGCTTTTTCCATCGGGGTCTTTGCTGTGATTCCTCTGTGTTGGATAGTTGGGACTGGTTTTTTTAGCGGTTTGGATATTGCAGAGATCCTTTGCCCATTGCCACCACTTGTAGGTGCCTCGTCGATGTTGCTGTTCCATTCGATTGGCTAGTGTGTCACTGTGTTTGTCCTTGGCACTTCTCACTTGTTGGCGGTAGTAATTGCGATAGACTTTATATTCGGCTTGTGCTTCTTTATTCGTTGGTTGTGCTCGTGCTAGTCGATACAGTCTATCTCTTCGCTGGCGTATTTTGTTGAGATCATTGTTGTACCAAGGCTTCTTCTTCTTATTCATATGGCAGTATCTCCACACAGTACATTGAGCTATGGTTTGTGTAAGGTAGGACGACTAGGCCAGCCAGCAGTTGTCAATAATGGCATCACCCTGGATGTGTTCCAGAAGCGGATTTGCGTGTAGAAGATGTCAGAAATTTTGGTAGTCAAAGTTTTATAGTCTTTTATCCACGTCCCTTTCATCTGGGGCTCATTGGTTGGCGTTTTGAGAGCAAAGGTCGACACGACGGGACAGTAATCCGCTATGGACGATAGGGTGTGAGAGTTGCTTTGTAGATGCTGCATGTTGCTGATTGTCAGGTCTAGGAAGGGATTTGAAGTTGCTTGTGGTCGTGTTCCTTCGTCCGCGTTTAGAACGGACAATCCCATGTGTGGAAATATGGTATGTAGAAGCCTGCCATGTGAGTCAGTAGTGCCCTTAGAGTTCCATTCTGAATTACGGGCGTTGAAGTCAACAGCAATGATGAGCTGTTATTTTTCGAACTTGGTGAAGGCATTAATAAAGGCTGAAGTGAATGATGGTGTATGATGTCTGGGTGGTCGATAAACAGCGGCAGTATATAAGGTGATGCGTGGTAGTGCTTTCTTGATCATGGTTGTTTCCAATGTAATCTGGTCTGTGTGTGTGACTAGGGGTGTGTGGATAATGCTCGAAAAGGTGGCAGATTCTGCTCGAAAAGCAGTGAAATTGGCAGAACCATACAAACCTTATGGCGGGCAATTCCTCGAATTCTGCTCCATTTCTTTATCTACATACCAAACCTGCATGAAACTTACCAGAAAAAGTACCGAATTCTGCCAATTTTTCTGTCGGTATTATCCGCATATGCCTATGTGTGACAGAGGTGGGGTTAAGATTGGTGCGGACAATGATGGCCGCTCCTCCTCTGCCCAGGGTTGCCCATGGAGTGTCGCAGTTCTCTAGATCAACTCGAAATAGATCATACCCTGGAAGATGATTTCGTGCTCTTTTTTTAGATGCTTTTAGAGAAAGTCGGCTCCAAGCGATACACTTCCCAAGGCTGTTAGAGATGTGTAATGACCATACTGTCCAGGCGAAAACTACATGAACGTCGCCGATAGCCCACACGGCCCTGTAGACGTATAGTGGTGGAGGCATAGTAAAATCATGTACATGTACATGTATAATGATTGCGGAGGGCAAAAGGCCTCACAATCACTTTGCTCCCGCATATGCAATTGTTTTGCCTTTTCCTGTGAGTTGTGATCATTATTGCTTTTACAATTATGGTGGTAAAGACATACATGTACATGTACATGTACCTGGTAATGTGGCCGTAAATACTAAATACTCGCCTCCTCACACACATTCTCTAGGCTGCTAAGTTCTGGCACAGAGCTCTCCTTCTCACCACCACCACCATCAGTTCGCGCCTGGCGCCTGGTCGATGCATGGTTGGCAGTATCCTACATACATGTACATGTAGCAGGCTGGTACACTGGTACATCAGGTAGCGCATGACACATAGAAGATGACATAGCAATGACATACATGTACATATACATGTAAATGACATGTTTCGTCCCCGCTGGACTCATCAGGCAATCGTCTTCTTGGATGTCTTCATACGGAGCTAGACTCGGGAGAATGAAGTAAGTTGAAGACAGCACCACTGCAGTGCAGCTGTACTTACATGTAGCTGTAATCATTGTAAAATAGATAATAAAAAAAATGATTGTGCCGGGCGCAATGGCGGGAATTCCCAGATTGCCTAGAAGGCTAGAACACCACAAGAATGGAGTACTGCTTTGTACTGTACATGTAACCATGGTAACCATGCCGTGTGCGCAGGTCGGTGTGCTGCTAATGAGTAATGTGTTGCGGGATTATGCCATGGCCCATGGCATGGGAGATGGGGGGCCAAAACGGGACACACCACCACGCATGTGATGAACTAATACAATCATGTATATGTACATGTATACACATACACAAAGCTGGATACAAGTCGCATACTAAGTACGTATGGAATTAGATAAACCTTGGTTTTGTTGACACAGGTAACAGTTGTTGGTTGACAGTATGTCCACCTTGTAACACGCCGTCAACGGTCATTGACAACCAACAAGTCGTATAAGTGTAATAAGGGCTTGAAAGTGATGACGTCAAAAACGGCCAGGGAGTGGTAAGTTGACATCAGATTTCTATTTTGGATCCACTGAGGTGTGACTATGCTATTGCCTCAGTATGTGGGTGCATAGCAACCCACTCATGTCGTGTGCAGGTGTGACTTTTATTTCGCCACCAGTTGTCACCCCGCCCCCATTAGCCAAATCAGTCAGCTTCACTGGCTACATCACCTTGCTGTGAGTAAGACCGCTTGAAAAGTGCTTGGATCCATACAAAAACTGGATCCACTTGGTTTTTGAATTTTTGCAATCGTTGCTATGCTGTGACGTAGCACTTTCAAGCCCATACGTACATGTATATACGCCAGCGTTCGCAGACATTAATTTTGAAGATACAAGAATATTTCTGTGCAGGCAGCATTCGTGTTGCGTTCGCACTACAGACTACAGTGTACTCTACATTGCATTCCACTCTCACAAGTAGGGAGATTTCCCCAAGTGATGCCGATTGATCGTTGCTACGTTGTTAACCAAACCAAGGCCGGGGCAGTTTAAATAATAATATTGAGAGCTACTAGTACAAGTGTCAGCTATGTAGGGTATCCCATGTTTGGTTCGGTGGACGTGTGCTGCCATCACTGGCTGTAGAAGTTGTCTTGCTGGTTGGAGTGTGTCCCGAAGCTGACCTGGGCCAGCCTGAGACCTCACGTACAAATACAACTGGCGAGCTCGTCAGACCCTCTTTGTCTGCTTGTGCATTGCATGCAGTGGCACAGGCCAAATTATCAGCTTGAGCTAGAAGAGGCTGTTCGTAGCGCTACAGAATTCCTTCATGTCTGAGAGTGCTGGACTCTAGTACTAGTAGATGCCATGACTTGTCTTTTCTGAAGCTGCCTCTGACCTGTGCCTGTGGGCTCCGAGTGCGGTGAAGTTAGTAAGTTAGTTTACTCTACCGCGCAATCGTGTACACTAAGTGCACTACTGTGCGACCAGTCAACCTCATTCCGATTTAAGTTCACTCTCAACAGACTCAGTAGTCAGTAGTGTTTTTGCCTTGGTCTAGATGTTAGTATGGAAAACGTCAGTAGCGAAGCAAGGGATACCATGGAGGCGAGGCCGCGTGCTAGGTCACGTTCACACACGAGTGTATCGCGCCAGGATCACTCATTGTCGCCGCGTCCATTGCCTGCAACACTCACGGCACCAACAATGGAGCGACCGTCAACAGTGACGGGCGTGGACAAACAGCGGCATGCTGTACCAACCGCCCCACATTACCAAGGTGAGACAAGGACAAGACCTGGTATCAAACGTCTGTCATTGCTCAGTATTATCAGATAAGCGTTACTCCGGTCTAATTGAGCAAGCTGTACTCTCGCGTGCTGAGAGGTCGGCTCACATCCCTGGCCTGTGTGTCGACTTCTTACCCTTTAGGCTTTATTAAAATTAATGTCTCACCCCCCAAGACGACGTAAATATGTACATGTACATGTCGAGTCCAGCCATACTGGCCGATATTTAACCTAAAGCAAACGTTATAATTGCGATGCCAACCTGTCCCTTTCCAAGGAGAGGTTTTCAATGTTCAAGACATTCGTCAACCTTACGCCAAGTTACGGGCGACGAAAGCGAAGAGGTTCCTCAGCAGAAGCCATACATTCTTTTGTATCATCATAAACCCTGGAGCAATCCTGAAAATCTATCGTGGTAAGGAGAGAGCTTGAAAGTTGAGAGCCCTTGCGTGTACGACTCCTGACTGTGCAGGCGGGCGCTAGTCGGATGATCACATTCACAGGTCTACTGGTTCATGCACGTTCGGTAGCCGTAGGTCTTCGTGTACTGATAACTGATGTAATGATTGTGACTCAGCGGAAACTATCTCACGGGGAACTAACGTCGCGGGTGTACCGCGGTGCGGGCGATGATTAAGACTTCCTGGCCGAAATAACCCCTTTCGAAATGATCAACGAGTCTACGACTCTAGACCTCTGTATCTACAAAAACCTCATGGCTCACCCCGGACCAGTGGACGGGGCTGTTGACAGAGGTGTTCGTCGCGTGCTGGAAACAGCTCATCGCTGTCAGTCAGTCGGTACATGCATCCCTTTTGTGATTCGGGGCTGGGGAAGCACTCACAAATAGTTTAGCCTTCTCCAGCTAAAGCGACTGGTTAACACTTCACGAAAAAATACTGTGTGTCGTACTATTGAGTGGATAGTTGTGCTGTTTTGCAGGTTTGCAGAGCGGATTGTTCGACCTGGTGATCATGTGCACTAACAGACTGCAGTCATGCGTCAGTCAAGACAGTGTCAGTCAGGTGGCAGGAAACGTCAGCTGTAACATTTTGACGATAGCACCTAATAATAGGACTGATTGCCTGCCAGAAATATCCCGTAAAACAGCCAAAAATCCACACCCTCTCCCAACGGGTTTTAGCCAGTGGCATCTACCGGTAGGTTGCTTGGGTTCATCATGCAATTAAATTCCCACTCTTCCTGTCCGGACACTGTCAAAGGGCCAAAAGAGCATTGAAGAAATTCTCGATTGCGCACTGCTGGGCTGGTGCCTGCTCGTCTCTCTCCCGGCAGTTGGTGAAATATAGAAGAATTCATAATCTTGAAAAGACAGGGAAAAAGGAAAGAAAAGAGGTCAAAGTTTGCACCTTTCCCTCAAACGAATGAGTAGGTTAAAAAATACAACGCATTTCTGGTCGTAGAGAGACACTATACGTGAGGCTGATGAGGAGGCAATGGTTGTATCAGCTGGCCGATTCCGGTCGCGGAGCATGACTGTATCGCACGTAGAGCGTGGAAATGATCTTGTACGCATGCACGCAAGCTTTGTTCAGTCCTGTAGTTTTCACTCCACAGCCTAGCCTCCAATATTATTGTGTGCGAGGTCTGTACTGACTGTTTGTTATGGAACCCAGTTGTGTGGTTGGTTAGTTGGATAGGTTTATATTTTACTTCGCACGTTCAAACGGGGATGACGACCCAATAAAAGAATGGTGGCGAAAACTTAGCCTAGAAGTGGCTATGGAAGCACATGGTAAACACGTATGTGAAGCCAGTGCTGTTGTACAACTGTGCGACATGAGGCCTCACAGATGCCATAACCGGAGGGATTGACACCTTTCATCGGAGGCATCTGAGAGCAATGGCTGATCCCAAACATAATTAGGAACAAGCACCTGTATGACATCTGCAACTCAGCACCGATTTCGCTTGATATTGACAAACGGCTTTGGGAGTTCCTCCGTCACGTACTGGGAATGCAGAAGAGCTTTCCCCCAGAGCGTGTGTTAGAGGTTTCAGCCACAGCGAGCCTGCGCGGTCGACTGGGCCGACCCAGGACTAACGTTAGTCTTCTCTCAGCTCTTTCCCAGAGCTGCCTAGCCCAACTCGGCATTGGCCTGGGTACGCTCATAGGCCTTAATCAGCTGCGGCAGTTGGCAGGGGATACGTCGCGGTGGACTGGCACCCCACGGCACTCATCTTCCTCTGCCGAGCCGCGGCCTTGACTTATTCCCTGCAGGGTGAACATCAATATTGAACAGTCTACCGTCTTTCTAACATTGCCACTCGCACTTGACGATAGAAGCAGCTTTCCATATGGGCAGGTACATTGACCCATGGTGTGCGTTTGTTTGTTTTTGTGAATCCATCCCAGAAGAAAATGCTGCTTTTTAAACATTGTGTAATTACTCAGCCTTATTTATTATTATTATTATTATTATTATTATTATTCCACAATCACGATGACATAGTGCCAATAAGCATGTGATGCGGGCGATTTTAACCAGCCATGGTGGGGACAACTGAGAAAAAGAAGGAGAAAAAAAGAGAAAAAAAAGAAAAAAAAGAAGTACTATAGGAACCTGGAGAGAGCAGTATGAAGATTAGGCTAGCAATGGAAAACAACGAATCAATTCAATTCGACTTAGGCGCGGGCAGAATGGAACAAAATGCAGCGAAGGTGTCACGAGACTTTACCTCCTGCGGAAGCCGAGACCAATGAGAATAGGACTTGAACAGAGGGGATTTTAAAAGGATCGATGATCTCGAAAGTGGTTTGCAATAATAATAATAATTTATAGAAAGGAAAAAGGACCAAGGAACTACAAGTTACGCTATAATGTCCACTAACACCACCAGTTGTTAAAAAAATCAGCTCATGCGATACCATTGCACGACACTGACCGACGGTACTAACGTTCTGCAACTAACTGGCTAACAGCTCTAGCCCATTTTGGATAGATGGATGGACATGGATGGATGGACAATAGCATAACTTGTAGTTCCTTGGTCCTTGTTCCTTTCTATACATTTATCCTTGGCTCTCCATCCGAGTCCAATAATTAAAAAAATTCACGGTTCGCGTGAGACTCGGCCAAAGGCCCAGTTTTCCGCATCTGCAAGAACGCCAACACCCTCTTGGACCAAGGCGCACATGTAGCTTCTAAGGTGGGAGGTGAGTAGATCAGACCCACCACAAAGTGGTCAAAGACCGAAAATCCCATTCACTGCATCCATGTTTCCCTCGTGCCAGGCCACGAGTTCCCGATTAACTGTGGGTCGCAGCACGGCTGGAAAAACCCTTCCGCTTCCAAGCAGGACTTGAACCTGGTACCCTCTGACAGCTCTGTTTTTCAATCATGGTCTTAGATCATCCCACTATGTCTCCCTGCCAATGACAAAATAAATTGGGAAGTCTGAAGAAAATGTTGAACGGTCTCTGCTGGGATGACGACTACACCGTAGCTCAGTGGTTAAAGCATCGCTAGCTACAAGCGAGGGTCCCTGGTTCGAGTCCTGGTGGTGACAGACAATTCTTTCTTCAGACTTTTCCCGTTTGTGTATTTCCCTCGAACTAGGGAAAATAATAATAATTTAGACAAACGACGAGGAGACAACAGTCCACCTATAATAGGCAACGAGATAGTATACAGTCAGATAGTGCGGCAACAAGGCACAACACTGACATTGATATTGAGACATTCGACGACCTGACACCTTGCTCCAACACATCCACCAAGAGCAAACCAACAACCTTCCAACTTGGGTGGCTGAGGTGCGGAAAGTGATAGTTCCAATGAGGAAAAGGGATGCGCAACGAAGATGTGCACGAGCTATGTCCCTGGGCAACAGAGAGCGTCGAACGTTGCAGGATGACGATGACGAGACTAGCAAGACGAATGGGCAAACTGGTCTAACTACAACTCGAAAACGCAAGGCAACTCAATATCACCGTCAGTCAATAAGTAAGAAAAAGGGACTAAAAGTTACGAGTTTTGGCCAACAGTCCACCAAGGTAACGGTAGTGCGACAACAAGGCACAAAACTGACAGGGATATGGAGACAGTCAACGACCTGACACCTAGCTCCAACCCATTTTCGAAGCCCAAGCCAACAACCCTCTAACTTGGAATTGTAAATTAGTCATAAAAAAAGATTCGCGGTTCGCGTGAGACTCGGCTGGAAACCGAATTTTCCGCATCCGCTGGGACGCGACCACCCTCAAAGATCAAGGCTCTGATGCAGCTCCTACAGCGGTCAGAACTCGTAACGTATGGTTATGGGTCCTTTCTTCTTACTTGAAAAATTTGTGAAATTACAGTATTTTAGAGCCAGTACTGTGTATGAAGAAAATGTCTTCACGTTGACCTACTGCAGGTGCCGCCGCACGCCCGTTGCCAGCCCTGCCACCTTCTCCTCCACCTCAACCGCCACCGCCACCACCAACCACACAGCAATCGGAGGAACGCAGCACCTCCGAGAGCGTGAAGAGGAGCCTTGAGCGGATCACCAGCAAGCTGCTGCTGCTGGCGGAGACTCATCCCGGTGTGTTCATGACCAGACATTCACTGGCACCCTTTCGTCACCTCTTGGTACTGCTAGGCGACAGCTGTGAGGATGCTGAGGTCGTACTAGGCAACAATGTCACTCGCTTCACGGGACCAAATGCAGGACAGAACCTGAAATGCATCATACAGCCAGTCCTGCTGAGATGGAAGAACTCCCACCACAGGACCTTGTCCACCATGGACCCATATGAAGAAATCATGGCATATCTGGATAACTGCCAACTGGGGGAAGTAATGTCCGAGCTTCAAAATGGTAAGGCTATTTGTAAAACGGGTGTGATCGTGTTTGCATGTGATTGCGCACGTGTGTGTACATAATTGTGTTTGTGTGTATGTGTATTTCGAAGTATATTAATTATATGTACGCACACGAACAAAACCAGATAGTGTAGCTACCATTGCTGATATGTGCACCTTAGTGGCAATAGTAATTGGCAAAAAAACATCGCCATCCCCTAGGGCAAAAGACGGCAGCTACCACAGGCAATTATCCAACGTCATATGTGCAGCTTACCGTTAATGGTGGATTGATGGGATACATGTGCATGTACAGTAAAACCTGTAACTGAAGACCACCGTGACTAGCGACCAGCCTGGTACTACAGACCACCGTGACTAGCGACCAGCCTGGTACTACAGACCACCGTGACTAGCGACCAGCCTGGTACTACAGACCACTTTGCCAGGCACGGACGGTCTCACATCATGATTGTGCGTTGCAAATCTCTAACTAAAGACCACCTGCCGCTAAAGACCGCGTCCTCTGGCCCCAAAGGGTGGTCGTTAGTCACAGGTTTACTGTACATGTAAGTCCGAAGACGTCCGGACCAGGGATTGCTGGCGCGAGTGTGAACAGCTCGTTCGGACACCTTGTGCCTTGGCCCAAGTTCCCTGTTCAATGTGGGAAACAGAGATACTGGAAAAAGGCGCTCCCAGTCAGACCTTGGACCAGGGTCTTGTTGTGTCAACGATGCCCCACTCATGTTTTGGTCTTAGACCAATCCACTATGCCGGGCCTGGTCTTCATCCGTAGGCACACACACACACACACACACACACACACACACACACACACACACACACACACACACACACACACACACACACACACACACACACACACACACACACACACACATACACACACACACACACACACACACACACACATACACACACACACATACACACACACATACACACACACACACACACACACACACACACATACATGCACACCCAAAAATATACACACATAAATACACAAACACACGCACACACACATCTTAAACAAACAAACACGAATTTCTCTTGCTGTGCACGCGCGGCCGTGTTACATGTTTTGTGATTTCAGGCAAGCTGGTCCTTTCTTCTCAGCACGTACCCGTCCCCTACTACGAGAGCTCCAGCGTCATCAGACAAGAACTCCATACTGAACACCAGATCAATGATGAGCAGCAGGACTCCGGCTATGGGTGTGGAACAGTATCAGCGTTGAAGGAGACCAGTAGGGGCAAACCAGAACCAACATACACGTAATACGAAATGACCGATGTGTTCCGTGAACAAATACGCTCATGGCGTCCCTGCCATGTTGCGAGCTATATCGCCACCCGCATCATTCTACCTTATAACCAGAGAACACTTCTAGCGATACCTCTGCCTTTGGCAGGGAAAGGATTTTTCACTCTCTTAGTTTCTAGTCCAGGGCAGACCGTTTAGCAATGCCACGGAATGTTAATCATGTTGTCGAAGTGGACGGAGAAAACTTGAGAGTATGCATGTCTGCGTGTGATATTGAAAAGTTACTAGTGCCGCTGTTGAGACTTTTATGTATATGCGGATACATTTAACTGTTTGTTTCGCTAATGGTCCTGTTCACAATACCTGCGTATTCCATTCTCTCAGTAAACCCATATGTCGCTTCTTACCATATATTTTTATCCTGCAAGCTTGCTGTATCTGGTGCACAGCACGACTCAAGCTGACCATATTGTCAACCAAGCCTTCATGATCCACAGTTTTCATTCACTGATTTCCCTATGTACATTTTATTACCGCGTTCATGCTAAGAGATGCTGAATAATTCTGTACCTCGTCAGACAGCACTACCTAGTATTGCTCCCCCGCCGGAGGACAACAACATGAACTAGGAAGTGGCGACTTTGGCAATAAGAACTTACTGTAGATGGCTGTGTTCACAACAGTAGATCTCGCGCCTCTAGGCGACCGTCAGTGCTTGTTTTCAACACTCCATGTGCAACAGCGACTCACGCTGTTGCCTGGGGCTCAAGAGGTGTTTCTTGCGCTATAAACGGACCGTCACTGGAAGTAGTTGGCCCTAGTGATGTTTGGAATGGAACAGCACTAATGCAGTGCGCCAAATTTCACCCCTGTATGTTTACACCGTCCAGCATTAAAAAACAAGCAAGGAAATGAAAAGAGAGCCTAAAAGTATACTGTGAACTATCACCACTCAACACTTAATGGAAACAAGAACTGCGATTTCGATCCTGAAACAACAAGTGGAGGGAGTGTCATAGACAAGAAAATTAGCAAAACAGCACCAAACTTACCCATGCGCTTGGTTAGAAGCCCAAGGCCGCAAAGGGGGGGGGGGGCACTATTCAAGAGAGTGTTATAATCGCGCGAGTTAGGCTCCGGCGGACTATGTTCGCGAAATCATGGAATTATGCTTTCATGGATGCTCTGCATTATGCTCGCAAAATCCTCATATTATGCTTTGGCATTCGGGGATTCTTATTCAAGATGTTGTACTGATCGAACCTCAAAGTACGGGAAGTTGTGCGTTTCTTCGTCCCTGCAAGTGGCCATATAAGTACAGCAGAATTGAGAAGTAGATGGAGATCGCAATACCATGGTGTCCGTGCATGCTAGAGACAAACATAGAAAATAGAAAAATAATACTGGTTCTATTCATTAGTTGACATCTTCTGGAAAAGATTTTTTCATTGCCAAATTAGTTTGAGGTACCTTCCGAAATACTTGATAACGGCTGATTCACTCGTATTTCTGCTAATTTTTAATTAATGTTTTATTTTATTTCGCCATCCAATGGCAGAAGCCAATGCAAAGGAGGGGGCGTTAGCCAGCCATGATATACATGTATGTACTTTATAAAAACAAAACAATAGGAGGACAGAGAAAGTGTTTTTACTCCGAGTCGGAGTAAAAACAATAAAAAAACACTCTCTCTGTCCTCCTATTGTTTGAACCAGCTCTACCACTCGATATTGAGCACTCTCCTGGACAGCCTGGAACCTCTCTGTTTTGTATGTACTTTATAAGTGTGAGAAAGAACTTTGAAGGAGACGAGTTCGAGCACACTGCAATGTACTGGCATGATTTCTAGTATAGCTACTTTTCCACTGAAAACAATATCTGAATGACCCCCGAACCCTTTACCATGCAGACCACTAACACTGATCAGGTGCATAGTGCACAATTATGTAGCCTACATACTAGAACTGTAGTACAGTCATGTAGTTATGCTCCTACCTCCGAAAGGATGCCAAACTACATGTATGCTCCAAACTTTCAACCACCAAATTAAGCCAATAATTATGCCGGCATAATCCGCCGGTGCGTACCTCCGAAACCTTTACCATGCAGACCACTAACACTGATGAGGTGCATAGTGCACAATTGTGTAGCCTCAATCATGTACTTGTACTTGAAGCAGTTATGCTCCTACCTCCGAAAGGATGCCAAATTATGCTCCAAACTTTCAACCACCGAATAGGGCTTGAAAGTGATGACGTCAAAAACGGCCTGGGAGTAGTAAGTTGACATCAGATTTCTATTTTGGATTCACTAAGGTGTGACTTTGCTATTGCCTCAGTATGTGGGTGCATAGCAACCCACTCATGTCGTGTGCAGGAGCGACTTTTACTTCCCCACCAGTTGTTATCCCGCCCCCACTAGCCAAATCAGTCAGTTTCACTGGCTACATCACCTTGCTGTGAGTAAGACCGCTTGAAATGTTCTTGGATCCATACAAAAACTGGATCCAGGTGGATCCAGTTTTTGAATTTTTCAAATTGTTGCTATGCGATTGCTATGCTGTGACGTAGCACTTTCAAGCCCCATTAATTATGCCGGCATACTTGTAACGTGTATAACTGGTTCCGAATCACAGATGGCTCCCAGACAAGATGCTCTGTTGCCCTCCCCTTGGCTAAAACGTCCTCCCTTGTACGCTCTCCACTCTTTGTTGCTTACTCTGCTTGGCTTGCGCTGCCCGCTACTACGCGCAATGCCAGTACCCTGGACGCATTTAAATCTGCTCACTAGATTCACCATCACCTGTCCCTCCCATGCTTCTCCGTCTTGACCATTACTTTTCTTCTTTTATTCACCATGGTTGGTTAACACCCACATCTCCCGTACTGGCTGATTTTCTTCTCATGCCATGAGGTGTTGTCTATAATAATAGGGAGGTTCTGCTCTACGTTTTGGGAACGCGACGCAAAGAATCACGCGAACTTTCTTCGCGTTCCCGTAACGTAAAGAAATGCTGTTCTGCTCTACGTTTCACCTAGAGAAGTCACGTGGAATGTGTACTGGGAATTTCCCCTTCCATATTTGGCAGTTTTCTCCATGCAGTTGATCGATACCCAGCAAATCCGTACGCATTTTCTCTGCGTGTGCCACAACGTAGAGAACCCCATCTCCGCGTAGAAATCTGGAGCCAAAACACGCGAAGCCGTAGACTCTAACCCAGACACCTGCTCTCTACGTGATTTCTCTACGTTTCACGTATAGCAGAACCTCCCTAATAACAAGAGTAGATAAACAGTTTATCTACTCTTGCTAATAATAATAATAATAATCCGTAGGAGCCTAGCGCGAGTACGGTAACTACATGTACATGACTGTCAGGGAGTCGTAAAATACCGGTATTTTACGACTCCCTGATGACTGTACTAATCATGACATGTACAATGTTCGTGTGTCTCATGTGCATGAGAATGAGAATGAAAATGTCACATCAACAGTCGGCTGCACGCGCGCACGGGTACAGGAGGATTGTCGACGGTACGCACTCCTCGATCCTGTACAATGACAATGTACATGTACACGTACATGTGTGGCACGCATCAAGATCAATGTTGATTTGTTGATTGTGTCCACGAGGAAGGTAGTGCTATAACTATAAGCGGATGTTTCTAAATAGCCACTCCGGATCCGGTTGAATCTCACACCGACAGGCCGCACAATTCATTCGCCCATATACCAACCCCAGTAATGATGCTATCTGGTGACAGAGACGGTTCGGCTGTATTGTAACCCTGCCCTGTCTTCGCTTTTGATTGATTTGATTTTGATTGATTGATTTTTATTTCACGGATCCTCCAGAAGCAAATAGATGCCTATCGAAGGGAGTCTCCTAATTAAGTATGGAAAATAAGAAAGTATTTTCGTAGGGGAGAAGAGGTAGAAGATACAAGTAGAGGATATAACCCGAGTCAGAGGGTTATATCGGCTGAATATAAATCCCGACTGCGATAGCAGGAGAGATTTATATGAGGGTACGGTATAACCCGACTACGAGGGTCATATCCTACTTATGCCAGGTACCCCTACGCATTTCCAGAACAACGAACCTATTTGGAGATCTCCTACATCATACAGTACATGAACATGTTCTGCTGGTTATCAGTTGTCAATTGAAAGAATGGTCGAGCAAGGTCAGAAGGAGATTCCTCCGTGGATGTTTGGCATAAGATTTCCTTTCAGTTCCAGTGCATATTGTAGCATGTCGTTTCGTGAGCGATGCGGAAGTCAGCTGGGGTGCTGGAGTTGTCGTTGAATCAAACTACCGTCACTAGTTAGACTACAGTACAGTTTGGACTCTTTGGGAGTAAGTGTTACTATTTAATAACATGATTATGGTACAGTACTCATTTTCACGTGCGGCATCTTATAATCAGTTTTGCTTAATTACAAGTAGATGCATTTGCATACACTGTTTTTTATCACTGTACTGTATCACATTTCAATCCATTCTAGCGTTTTCCAATCGGTTTGGGTGGATTTGAAGTTCACTTTGTATCATAAACTTAGTTTAATACGAAGGAGACAGTCTGTTGATGATCTTCAACTATTCGAAGTACAATTGCTGATCCATTCGGGATACTTCGTGGTTATTTGACGTTTTTTATCCTCAGATTCAGTATAATAGGATACTCGGTAGACATATTCCAGGTCATTCTTCTTTTCCATTGTGTACTGTTCCTCGTAAGTAATCTGGTAATGCAGTTCAGGTCCGTTCTGTGTGGAGTGTACACGTGCATGTGGTGTATGTTGTGTCTTTTGTGATTGGTCCGTGCGCTGGAGTACTGCCGTCGTACAAGTTCACTGCCTTTCAAGCAGTGAACTTGTACGGTGGCAGTGCCCTAGCGTATGTACCGTGCACCGGGATTTATATTCGATATAAATCCCGCGCGGGATTTATACTGGCCAATATAACCATGGCTAGACGAGCGCTGATTGGCTGAAAACAGGCCCTCCGTACCGTACCATGGTATAATAGAATATAGAGTACAAAAGAGGTAAATTCAGTACTTCGGGTAGTACATTGCATGCTAATCATCATGAGAATTAGAAAAGCCGCATTGCGGACTACTATAACTGACATATCCACAAACTATTGAAACTATCATAGATGCGGTTAGCCTAGACACAAAGTCAGGAATACCTTTCAAAGAAAACGTAGATTGCGAATGATACCGACAAACAGTAATACTAAATTTCGCTGCTGTAGAGAGTGAACGAATATCTTCAGGAAGTTTATTCCAAGCAACACTCAAAGAAAAAAGGGTTGATTTACGAAAGTAGGTGCCAGCTTTAGGAAGAATTATGGATGAGCGGCGACGACTGCTTTGGGAAGAGGGTAGCTGGAAGTGAGACAACAAGAAGGGGTATTGGGAGAATACATGGTGGAAATAGACAAGGCCAAGAATCTGCCGTCGCCATGCTAAAGATTCCCAAGAGGACAGAACATTGAGGTCTTCTTTGGAAGTCGCCCAGTCAGGCCGACGCTTGAGTTTACGATTTAAGTATGCTCTTAGTCTAGCAGCAG